CTCAGGCAGCGGCAGTGTTGTTAGCAAAGTGCACGGCGTCGCGATGTACAAGAACATCGACAACAAGTCCTCCACGACCATGTTTGAAATGTATTCCTCTTCGGACAGGTTCATCCGCTCGGACATGGCTGACGTACCCGTCCAGCAGGCGGCTGGCTCCACCCTGCCCCTGGTGATCACGCGCAAGAAAGGCGGCGGCGACTCCGACGATGGCAACTACAATCCCTTCGAGCATCGCAAGGTGGAGCATCCCACATCGTAAGTACCACCATAACCCCAATAGCAGCAACAACAGCACAGCCATAGGTTACGGATTATCGATTTGTGTGTGTGTGTGTTCACTTCTCGTACATTATATAAACAAGCAGCTGATCGGATCCTCAATGACTAATCCCCAATTAATGATACGCGGGGGAGGTGACGTGACCCACCCGCCCGCGTCATTGACCTTTTCCCCATTGCGAAAACCCAAGAGAATACAACGGAAATGCAATTTGGTTGGCATTGTCCTTGGTCTTGGCTTGGCTTGGCTTCCAAACTAAAAATAAAACGAAAATAAAGTAAATTCGCAACGAAAATCTCGGGCGAATGAAATGAAATGAAAAGAACACGAGAAGCGCCGCCAAATGTTTTGCTCGACTCGTTTATCGTGTGGAATGAGGAACGCTGCTCTCCTAATCACCTGCCCCTCCACTGTCTCACCCACACGCCCTCTCACACCACCTCACGGCAGACGCCTGAGGAGAGGCAAACGCATCCGCACGGCCTTGCATCGAGAGATCTGAGAGATCGATCGGCTGGTTGGCGGATGGGGGGCTCTAGGCAGTGTCTATTTTCGGATACGTCCACCAAAACCATTATTGACCAAAAGCTTTGGGCGCATGCCTTCGGATCTTTTGTTTGCTTATGGAATGGGCAAAGTGCAAAATGCAAAATGCAAAATGCATTTGTGGCGCCACGTCAGCCACGTTCTGCCCTGGAGCGTAGGGGGCTTTTCCAACGAAAAACGTGATTTCCCCCAACCCAAGTACCAAATTCGATTTTTGGCTACGCAATGAAGCTTCTGTTAACCTCTACGACACATTGATATTAATTTATTGTTTTATTTTGAATTTCCTCAGGGATCTGGAGACATTTGTGCACCTGCTGAAGGGCTCCCTGGGCTCGGGCATCCTCGCCATGCCCATGGCCTTCTCGCATGCTGGTCTGTGGTTCGGTTTGGTGGCCACCTTCGCCGTGGGCACCCTCTGCACCTACTGTGTGCACATCCTGGTGAAGTGCGCCCACATCCTGTGCCGGCGACGCAAGATACCGATGATGGGATTCGCGGACGTGGCCGAGCAGGCCTTCCTGGATGGTCCGCCTGCGCTGAACCGCTGGTCCCGCTTCATACGCTTCATGGTGAACACTTTTCTGGTGCTGGATCTGCTTGGCTGCTGCTGCATCTACCTGGTGTTCGTGGCCACCAACGTGGAGCAGGTGGTGAGCGTCTACCTGGAGACGGTGCTGAGTGTGCGCGTCTGGATTATGATTGTGACCGTGCCGCTGATCTTCATGTGCCTGGTGCGCAACCTCAAGTTCCTGACGCCCTTCTCCATGATCGCCAACATCCTGATGTTCGTGGGCATTGTCATCACCTTTATCTACATGTTCACCGACCTGCCGGCACCCGCTGAGCGGCCCGGCCTGGTCGCCGTCTCCGAGTGGCCGCTCTTCTTCGGCACCGTGATCTTCGCCCTGGAGGGCATCGGTGTAGTGATGTCCCTGGAGAACGACATGAGGAACCCCAAACACTTCATCGGCTGCCCCTCAGTGCTGAACCTTGGCATGGGTCTGGTCATTGCCCTGTACACCCTCGTTGGCTTCTTCGGCTTCCTCAAGTACGGCCCCGACACGCAGGCCAGCATCACGCTCAACCTGCCGCTGGAAGACAAGTGAGTTGCCCAATCTACGATCCCCAGAGCAGCAAAACTCATACCCTTTCGTGGCCTTTTCTCTTCTTCGTCTGCAGATTGGCCCAGTCCGTGAAGCTGATGATTGCCATTGCCATCTTCTTCACCTTCACGCTGCAGTTCTACGTGCCCGTCTCGATCCTCTGGAAGGGGCTGGAGCACAAGATCAGACCAGAGCGCCAGAACATCAGCGAGTACGGACTGCGTGTGGCGCTGGTGGTACGATATGATGCATGCTCTGCCTTTGGAATTCTCTGCTAAAACTCTGTTCAATCTCTTGCAGGTGCTGTGCGGAGGCATTGCTGTGGCATTGCCCAATCTGGGGCCCTTCATCTCGCTTATTGGAGCCGTGTGCCTCAGTACGCTGGGCATGATTGTGCCGGCGACGATCGAGCTGGCCGTGTACCACGAGGACCCCGGCTATGGACGCTTCAACTGGCGGTTGTGGAAGAACTCGGGCCTGATACTGTTCGGAGTGGTTGGCTTTGTGGCGGGCACATACGTCAGCATCATCGAATTCCATGCCGAGTTCAGTGGCGGCCATTGAGCGGCATGTGCCTCCTCCTGCAAGGGGGGCTGCGCAGCTTATTGCTAATTTAATTTAAATTAGTCTTAAATGAAACTCTTCTAAGCACAGGGATGTCTACGTTAAGTTTTTAACTAATTTTAGGGCTAACCAAAGTTTTCTAGGACTCTAAACTCCCTGTCTCCCCATGTGGTTATCCTTCATCCCCTTTTCGTCCTGCTTCTCTGTCTCCACGCTTCTTCATCTATCCCCCCAGCCCAAGCCCCAGCCCCAGCCCCAGCCCCAGCTACAAACCGAAAGGAAACTATTACAAACAACAAAAGTATTTCGATTTAGTCGATGCCATGTGCACCACGCGGCCGTGGCATTAAGCTTACTTAGGAATTCTTCTAGAAGTGATTTTGTATCGTAGTGATTTTGAAAACAAATTAGTCGTAATTTAGTTCCTACTATCGTTGTTCGAACTAAGCCAAGACGCATGTACGGACGGACGGACGCAACCAGAGTTTGTTGCTTCTGCTCGACAATTGTTTTGTTTTATCATTTATTTACTGTACATTATCTACGCCCTATTTCAATAATCATGACATATTATCCAATACACAAAGACCCGTTGCCCCTCCCTGCCGCGATAAGGCACAGGGGCAACAGAAAATCGCATTAAAAAAATAATAAAATATTGAAAAATCACCCAACGACTAAATATTTTAGCTTTAAGATCAATTCAGGAATGCATTTCCGATCACAGGAAGAAAATATCGTTGATCCTTGCTAGGGACTCCATCAAATCAAGGATTTTCTTTCGATCACAGCCAGACATCGCATGTCTAGATCGGGCCACGAATATAGGAGAAAATTTAATATTTTTTGCTGGGGAAGGATATTTATCCTTGACAAGGACTCGAAAAAATCAAGGATGTCCCCCGATCACGAAAAGCCAAAGCACGCCCAGATCGGTCCATAAATAGCGGCGATAAAAAGATTTTTCTGTCCTTGGTCCTTGATCCTTGAAAAGGACTCTGCCAAATTAAGGATGTCTTTCCGATCACAAAAAGCCGTCGCACGCCCGGATCGGTCAATAAATAGCGGAGTAAACTGAATATATATGCTTGGGGATTTAAAGGTCCTTATCCAACGATCAAGGATATTTCTCCGATTCAAGGAAGCCATGGCCCGCCCAGATCGGCCCACAAATAATGGCGATGACAAGATTTTTATGTCTGGAGAAAATGTTCTTGGTCCTTGATCCTTGAAAAGGACTCTGCCAAATCAAGGAAGTCTTTCCGATCACAGGAAGCCGTCGCACGCCCCGATCGGCCCACAAATAAAGGAGAAAGCAACAAAACAAAACTGGCTTGTTGTTGTTGTACAACAAATGATGTTTTTGTTATTGTTGTACAACAAAAATAAAATTGTTGTACAACAAAAATAAAATTGTTGTACAACAAAAATAAAATTGTTGTACAACAAAAGTTGTTGTTGTAGGTCTTTATTTTTGCCCAGTGGCGCCCCCAGAACATCGACGGTCACAGCTGGAACTAAGTCAGATTAGTTCGAGAACTGGCCGCTCGTTGTGAGGGCGCCAGAAAAGCAAAAGTTGTTGTTGTAGGTTTTCGTTTTGTTGCCCAGTGGCGCCCCCAGAACATCGACGGCCACTGCTGGAACTAAATCAGATCAGTTCGAGAACTGGCCGCTCAGCGTTGTAGGTTTTTTGCATGTGGCGCCCCTTATTTCAACGGCCAATGCTGGAACTAAATTTGTTTAGTTCGGGAAATTACCGCGAATTTGGGTGGCGCCAAAGTGCTGTACGTTATTTTTAAACAGGTTTTCAATTAAATCGCTATAACTCCGCCATTTCTTATCCGATCAAGACGTGATACATATCCTCGCAATTGGTAAAATGTCCCCCATCGTTTAAATCAACCAAGGACATCAAGGACGATAGGGATGTATACATTTTTGACGCTGTTTTACAAACGATTTTGGTAAAATTGCCACAGCTTTGTCATTTCCGGTCCGATCTGGGCGTGCCACACCTCCTCGTAATCGATAAAAATTCTTCGATCGTTTGGCATAAGAACATTGCAAAAAACCATAAGAAATTCTTAACGATTTTTGTATTTTTATTAAAAGTTTATATTTTATTTATATATATTTATTTTTAGTTTATTTTAAATATATAATATAACGATTTAATTAATATCTACATATGAATATGTTTAATTATGTATCAGTGTACATATTGTTTTAATAACAATATTATGGATATAACATAATTAGAAATGTACAAAAATGCGAATTAAAAATAATAATAGTAAATAAAAAAGGCTGTTTTTTGAGCGATTGGAACACAAATTGCATGGGGCTGCAGGGCTGTCTAGTTATCATCGTCGCCGATGCCCAGGCTCCTTGGCGATATCATGCAGGCAGCGCTGATCCATTCAAACAGGAAGTAATATTGCCTCTGAAATGGAATTGCAGACATTAGATTGGCAGAAGAGACAGTCTATGAATACATTTACTACATTTGGCGACTGCAGGGGGCTGCCAGGTTCCACCAAACTCCATGGGGCACGGGACTTACTAGAAAGAAATAAAATGAGAAAGTTGTTATGGCCTTTAACTGCAGATCAAAGTTTTTATTTATGTTGTTTAGTTGGATTTGAATATATTTCTTCGGAATCTATTTCAAAGCATGTGGCTAAGGGGAGACCTTGGGGACCTTGAGCCCTTGTTGACATTTCCCAACGCCTACTCGGCGGCGGCAGAAGATTTGCTGTGGCCGAATGTTTGTTTGCGCACACTGGGCAAACAATCCAAACACTTGATAGCGGCGATAGCGGAGGAACAACAGTCAGTTCGCATGCGAATTGGCAACAATTCGCGAGCTTTGCTTTCCCACGCTACTCCCAAATTAATATGTGATATGAGGCGCTGAAAGCAGAAGCGATATGATACGATACGATACGATACGACACGAAAGAGCAGCGAGGAAGCGTAGGAAACCCAATGCGAACTCAAGTCGACGGAAGATAAGATATTTATCCAGGTGCTCGCTCGCAGCTCCGTGCTCCGTTCTTCGTTCTCTGGGCTTTGGGCTCTGGCCTTCCTCCTCCTCCCGCAATCGTAATCACCCACAAAAAGTGTTGGCGAAAAGGCAAACGAGGAGCCGGGTAGCCGGGGAGCAGGCGAGCGAGCGAGCGAGCAATAAAAACACGAAAAGGGAAATGTGCAAACGCAATTCAATCCCGCGCGTCCAACTGAAAACTGAACCGTGAGAAAATTACACCCACAGATAACACACAGCCAACGCCACAACATTCAAGGGCCAGAGAACGAGAGCCATAGCCATAGCCATAGCCAGACCGCATCCATAAGATATTTTACTGCGGCGATAAGCGTTTTGCATTGTGACGCAATATGAGGTTGGTGTTGGTGTTGCTTGAGTGTGTGCACAATTGAAAAATTACTGTTTGCCCAGCGAGAGTTTAAAGTTCGTGCCCCATCCACACACACACACACGCACACTCATCGATAAGGGGCAGCGTGTGAACCCAATCAGAGAGCCACTGATTGACCATGCGTGGGCTGTGGACTGTGGACTGTAGGCTATGGGTTGCGGCATGCATGTGCACCTTTCACGTGTTATACTTTCTCTCTGGGTCGCATATCACAAGCAGGCGTCCATCGGGTGGCAAGTGGCAAGTGTATCTATCGGCGGGTATCTATGATCCTCCAGCGGGCAGTGGGCAGTGGCCGCTTTGATGACCCATCTGATTAACCTTTGTCTAGTCATTGACTCGTCGCATAAATCCCCCCCCACGGGCGTTCGTTTTCGATTTGAACTCCTGTTCATCTGCAATTTATGTTTGACTGCTGGCAAAATCGATTCGTTTCGCTTCGATTTCTATGGCCAAGTTTATGGCCATTCCGCTTCCGCCTATCCCCTATCCACCTGTGCCAGTGCCTGTACCTCTGCCTGTGGTAGTGGCAGTGGCAGTGGCCATGGGCTCTCGGCTCTCGACTGATCGATGCACAGATAAATGGCATTTTATTAGTTGGCTACTTACTTGGCTTACTGGGACCGTAAGTCGTAGCAGTCCCCGAAAGCAGTCGAGAGGCAGTCCAGTCCAGTGCAGTCCAGTCGCCCATATAGCTGGCAGCTTAATGTCAGTGGCACAATGTTTGGGCCATGTTTATTGGGATTAGTTGCTTAAAATTATGACCAATTTGTCGGGGTTCAATGAGATGCAGAAGCAAAAGCAGCACCAGCAGCAGCACCAGCGATGCCCATCCACTTTTCCTCATTCAAGTCAATTGCATGCAAAGCGAACCCCCCATCCACATGCAGTGGCTTGGTGGAGGTGGGGGGGCAGGTCCGTAGCGTAGCTGTGGCAGGGACTCTGACTGTGACTTCCATAACCCATAGAAGGCGCTGCTCGCGCACTTATTTTGCGTACATTTTTGGCAACACAAAAATAAAATTAAAGCCTTAAACAGATAATGCGCTATCACCAGACAGACAGACAGACAAACAGAGAGACAGAAAGACAGAGAGAGAGAGAGATAGAGACACACAAACACTGCCAGCATTCAATGCAAATCTCAACGAGCCTAGGGGGCAGGTTAATAGAAAATTTATAATGGCAGGCGAGCCATAAATATGCCACATCCACCCACATATTGTGTCGCCCCACAAGCGATACGTACACACCAGTGTCCAATGTTCAGTTCAGTCTGTGGGGCGGGGAGGGGAGGGCAGTGCAGTGGAGTCCATTCCTGGCCCAGAGATCTCTGCGAACGAGAGGCACACAGTTTGTGTGGGAAACATATAAAAAAAAAAACGTTGTAATTTGCAGTTGACAAATACGCAAAAACTCCTTACCTGATCCAGGCTCTAGAAATTAACTCATATTGCAGCAAGTTGCACGTTGTAAGTTGCAAGTTGCCAGTGGAGGAGGCGCTGGGGAGCAGCAGCAGCAGGCCCAAATGATTTATGCCCGCAGTGCGGCCTACGAAAATCTGTGGCAAGCTCCAGTCCTTCGGCTGTGTCGGAGGAACGAGAGCAAACAATAGCCAGGGGTAGTGGGAGGTGCGTGGCACTCTCTAGAGAGAGAGAGACAGAGAGAGAGAGAGAGAGAGTGAGAGAGTCTACTCCTCCCTCAGACCATTGCAGACTGCCGTCCATGGACGGAGACTCCTCTTCCTTCATCGCCTACCTGTTGTGGCTGCGCCCCAGGCTGCAATTGTCTGCTTAAAAGCGTTCATTCTGTCCACAATGAAGCCACATAACTTGGCCGCAGTTACTCGTACCCGTCTGCCCCCGCCACACTGCTCACCGCCACCACCACCACCACCTCTAGCCACTAGCCTTCCTTCCTTCCTTCGATGTGATGATTTATTGTGGCTGCGCCTGCAGCCTCCACAACTGTCCCGCCTCGCTCCCAGTCCCAGTCCCAGTCCCAATTCCAGTCCCTGTTGTAGTCAGGCATCCACAGTCGCACTCGCAGTTGCAGTTGCAGTCCTCGTCCCAGCACGGTAGCTGTGTTCCTCGCTCTGGTCTCCACTCCGCAGCAGTCCAGTCGGTGCGCCTGGATTGAAACTTTATTAAATAAGTTGATGTTATTTGTTAACTGGCAAAAGGGCTATACTTCACTTTACTTCACTCCATTCCACTCCACTCCACTCCACTCCACTCTGCTCTGCTCTACTCTGCTGTGCTCCAAGATCTCCAGAATAGTTGGCCAGCGAATGAGTTCTAATGTTGCTGTTGCTGCTGCTGTTGCTGCTGTGCCTGGGCCATAAATCAGCTGGCGGCCAGTGGCGTGGGTCGCTGGTTACCCTCAGAGTTCATTAACGAATGCACTTGACCCACAGACAGAGAGAGAAAGAGAGAGAGAGAGAGAGAGACAGGGGGTGTACTCTGTATCCTCTCTATATACTGAGTCTGGATGGAGTGCTTGATTTCCCCGAGTAATTTTGTGCGTAGATGCAGCGCACACACTCGCCCGTGTCAATTGCATTGCATTAGAAAGGCAACAGACGAGGCGACAGTGGCGGCCTGCCACTTTAATCCGTGCCGCACAGCACACTTGCTGACAAATTGCTGATAAATAAAGCGGGAGATTTGCAATAATGCCTTTCTAATTTCATGCGTCGCGTCGCCAGCGGCGCTCCTCCGCTCCTTGGGCATGCAAAGCGCACAAAAAGCACGGACTCGTACTCGTACTCGGACTCGGACACACAGCTTGGCTTGGCCTGGCATGGAGCATGGCGCCTGCCTCCATTGAGATCGAATCCGAGTAGTCTGTGGCTCTGCGGCTCTGGCTCTGGCTCTGCGGCTCTCTGCAGTTTTAAACATTTTCCACACGTAATGCGAAAGTTTGAATCATTTGTCCAGTGCACTACGCAGCGATTTTCATTTAAAATTCTTGTCACAGACATGTAATTGCAACGCGCCAACCAACCAACCAACCAACGACGACGACAACGATGCCAAACTCTGACTCTGACTCCAGCATTCAGTTTGCAGCTTCAACTGCAGCTCCAACTGCAACTCCAACTCCGATGCAGACCAGAGGCGGATCTATAGGCTATTGACAATGCGTTTGTCAGGCTTTGGCCCCTTCCATGTGGCAGCTCTCTGTGTTGACACAGATAAGTGCGTGGCGTGGCGTGGCGTGGCGTGGCGGCGGCATCGGTCCATCGCTCCATCGCCCCATCGCTCCATCGCCCCATCGCTCCATCGCTCCATCGGTGCAATCGGGCAGCGATAAGTAGCGTTTTATGCATTAATTTTTGCCTCAAAAGAGCATTATTTATTACGCATTAATGCGCTGAATTAACGTTTATTTAATTAATATTAATGCCGCCGATATTATTACTGTTGCCGTTGTGCCATGTTGCAGTTTACTGTTGCTGCAACAGAACTTGCCACTGGGATTGGGTTGGCATTTGTGTCATAGATAGACACGAGATTTTGGGGCAAGCATTCATTCATTCATTCAGTCAGTCAGTCAGTCAGTCAGTCATTCAGCCATTCAGCCATTCATTTATGGCTGAAATGCAGAGCCTTGGGTCCTACTTGTGTTCCCTGTTGGGAGGATCTCCCTTTCCAGCAGAGGCCTCGCCACAGGTCAAGGCCTTTATCGCTTGCTCCCCCTGCTCCCTCCCGAACCTCAGTTTGTTTGTGGCTGACCCTTAAGTTGTGCAAATATTTTAACAAAAATCGAACTCAAATTCCGACGTGTCGTGTTGCCGTTGCTGTGGATCTGGAAATTGAAATCGAAATTGAAAGTAAAGTCGCGGGGCAAATACATCAGAAACACTCTCAAGTACATACATATGTACATATGTATGTATGTATATCTGAAAGGAAGCAAATATTTACAGGACGGGCGAGGGCGAGGGAGTGGGAGTGGCTGATAAGGAGCTGGCCGGCCCCCGTGAGTAATCCATCAGTGTCTCAGCAACGGGGGCGGAGGTGGAGTTGCAGTTGGAATACCCTTTGGGCTGCAATAAACCCAATAATTTATAGACCAATCACGGACACGGACACAGACACAGGCACAGGCACACGCACTACGAACCACGAAACAAGTGGAAAAATCATAGTCCAAAACACACATAACGCATTAGAGGAGACAGAGAGAGAGAGAGAGTGAGAGTGGGGCAGGGGCAGTGGCAGTGGCAGAGGGGGGGAGCGATTTATAGGATGGCCATGCCAATAGACACCGCACAGCGGGTTGTCGCGTCTCCAAGAAGAAGCAGGAGAAGCAAGAGAAGCAAGAGAAGGAGAATCCCAAGTACCCAGTCCCCAGCATCGCATCGCATCGCATCGTCTCATTGCCAATTGATTTATACAAACGGCAAAGCAACGGAACACAAATTGGTTGCCTCGAAGAGATCTCCCTCTCCCTCTCCCCCTCCACGAAAATATGAACCTGGAGCTGCGAGCTGCGAGCTGCGAGCTGGTAGTGGGGTGTGGGGAGCTACGGGAGATGATTTGTTGCACTTTTGTTGCAATCACAGTCGCAGTCGTCGTTGCAGTCGTCGTACGCAGAACGCTCCTCTCTTCTGCTGCTTAACCTCTTGAACTCCACGCAGGCCAAAGCTGCTGGGAGAGGGATTCGATGTGATGCGATGCGATGCCAGCACACGTGTTGCAACACACACACACACACACAATTCAGTGGAAATCATTAGGCCAAAAAGCCCGGAGTGGAGTGCAGGAGTGGTGCCGAGGCGGTGGAGAGATCGCATCAGCTTTTTGCTGCGCTTTGCATGCTGCCTGCGTAGCTAATTAGAGCCATAAACGATACAGTGCCACAGATACCAGTACACCAGTGCACCAGAAGCGACGATCCACACAATTCCCCGGCGGATTTGATGGCGGACATTGGCGGGCGGAAAGTGAGATTTGTCGGGAGGCGTTGGCAAAAAATGCCACACAAATGACAGGCAGACAGACAGACAAACATACAGACAAGCAGACAGACAGATGGACAGACAGCAAACACCGCAAACAAATGTCGAACGGCGGACTGGACCCCGTTGACCGTTTTTGGTGATGTCGGGATTGTCAGTGGCATCGGGAATCCGAATCGATGGACTGTGGGGCAGGGCAGGCATGGGGCATGGGGCATGGGCAGCAGCGGCAGCGGCAGCGGCAGCGGCAACACCAGTTTATCAAGCCAAAAGACCCAAAACAATAAATTACGCAATCCAAATGCTCAACTGCAGTCCATCAATGGCATAATGAGGCAGCCAGCAGGCAGCGGGCAGCGAGCAGTCGGCAGTGGGCAGCGGGCGAGCGTGAGCCGGAGACGACTCCGAGTCCAGAGTCCCGAGTCGCAGAGGCAAGTCCCAGCGTAGAGATGCATTACCATATCGGCATAAATTCCGGAGCACATCGTTAAGTGGGCTGACGAGTGCCACCAGACACTGCCACAGGAAAACAGGCTCGAGAGCAGGTTGCATGCCACATGCCAGATGCCACATGCCCCATGCCAGGCTGCCAGGCAGCCAGGCTGCCAGACGTCCAGCTTCCAGACTCTTGGCCACCTAATGAGGGAATTACCGGCCAATGACGATGCCGATGCCAATGCCAATGCCAATGCAACAACGTCATCGATAATGGTCTGCTGTGGCACCTGCAGACACAAGACTGCCTCTGTCTCTGCCTATCTGTCTGCCTGTCTGCCTGCCTGCCCAGTGGGTGGAGTGTTGCACTTGACCTTTAACATTTGCGAATGGCGCCCCCAGATGAATGTCTTGCAAGGAGAGCTGCAAACTCTTTAATCGTTCGAGTCTCCTGCCCAAAAACGTGCTGCAACAGCAGCAGCAGTGGTCGCAGTGGCAGCCACAGTGCTGTTCGACACGGGTAGAGTGGTGGTCTTCTTGCTGCCGCCGCCGTACTCCTTGATCATGTCCATGATGGCCAGGATGCAGCCGTACACCAGGATCAAAGCGCCAATGATGACAATCAGAATGTTCTTGACGAGCTTCCAGCGCAACTTGCCGTAGGTGTAGGGGGCATGGTAGTTGAGGCACATGTCGATGCAGGCCGGAAAGATGAGGTTCAGCAGCGAGATGGTGAATGCCCCGACGAGGGCCAGCAGTGGCCCCAGATTGGGGAACGCCACCGCATTGACGGTGCACACCAGGACGAAGCACAGCCGGACAATGTACTCGATGCGATGCGGATGCTTCAGCTGCCCATTCCGGTTCAGATAGTGATTGATGATGATGTCAATGGTCACATAGCCGGACAGCGGATACGTGAGGAAGACGGCCATGCTGATGAAGGCCTTGGACACCTGCGCGGGTCTATCGGGGATTACTACTTGGGAGATGGAGATTTTGTGGCGCGATCTGTGGGGCTGCACTCACATTTCGTCGTTGGGCAGATCGAGGGTGACGCTGCCGTGCACGGTCTCCCCATAGCGCCAGTAGCCCATGATGGCAAAGATCAGGTACGAGATGACGACCACAACGGAGGCCAGATTGAGTACGCCAAACCATCCGATGTACTTCTCCGGATGGGCCATCTTCGACTCAATGGCGAGCATCTAGCGGGCAGGGGGGGGTAGGCACAAGGATTAGGCAGAAGTAGAGTGTGGTCTGGTATCACCTACCACTCCCACAGAGCTCACGGAGAACAGGGCAATGCCAAAGAAGAGCGGCAGCTTGGAGGGCTCGCTGAATGCCTCACGCTCCGAGAGGGCTGGCAGATTCTGGAACAGGTAGTAGAAGATCAGCACAAAGCCCAGATACATCACAATGTTGGCGGCCAGATTGAAGGGCACCAGATACTTCAGATGGCGGATGAGGAACAGCGGTATCGACAGCATCCCGACAAACAGTATGAAGATCCACAGGTCCATCACCTTGATGTAGTAGTCCGACAGCTGCTTGATATTGACCGACACAAACACGATATACACGACGCACACGCCGTAGTGGGAGAAGGCCAGCACTCCGTCGACCAGGAAGCCCGAGGCCCTGGCGCAGTATCGGCACCAATTGGGGCCCTGGTTGAACGCGTACACCATCGTATCGGGAAAGTTGCAGTAGCCCTGCTCCTGCCTACGGGCCGACTCCACCATGCAAATGATCTGCAAACAGTTATCGAAGGATCGACTGAGGATTGGGTTTACTTACCAGCAGCGTGATGCCATGGATCAGCAGTATCGTAATCAGAATGAGCAGTATGCCCCCATTGAGCCAACCCGTGTAGGCAAAGGCCAGGGGCAGCGCAAGGATTCCCGTTCCAATCACACACTTGAGCAGCGACACAAAGGCGCCCACATTTCTGGTAGGGAGGGGAGAGGGAAGATTCTTAGTGCAGTTTGGAGTGTGGGAAAGTGGGGGAGTGGGGTTGTCAGAGCACTGATTTCTTACGACATTGGCACTTCCACATTGCGATTCTCGTAGGGATTGTAGGCACTGCAATTGGAAGAGCGGAAGGAGAGAAAGGTTAGACCAACGAGATCGAAACGTTGAAGAAGAAGGCCCAGTTGGATGTTCTACCTGTCGGCCATTTGGAATTCGAACAAATGAAATTTACACTTTTTATTTGTGGAGTAGAAACAGAACAAAACAAAACAATGTATAGTGATGGATAAATAAGGGGATACTTGTGGGAGCACAGTGTCGTCGCTGTCATCGCCGCCCTTTGGGATAGCCTTCATTCAGTTCCCGCAGGGAGATGACCGTGCCCGTGATGCCGCCACAGAAGCCCAGCACAAGGAAGAGGAGGGATCGCCAGAGCAGGAGCCTGCCCCAGCCATAGCCCTGGCTGTACAGCACACACATGTTCACGATTCCCGGAAAGATGAGCCCCAGCTGGGCGAGGCAGAAGGAGCCCACAAAGGAGAGCAGCAGCCCAAAGTCCGGATAGCCAATGGCCACCAGCACAGAGGCAATCACGAGGGCACAGCGCACCAGATACTCCACGGTGCGCCCGGTGGCGACGTTCTCCTCCAGCTTCGGTTGCATGTATCCCCGCCAGATGATGTCCACGGTGACGTAGCCCTGCAGAGCGTAGCTGAAGAACATGGCCAGGGCAAACATTGCCATCACACACTGTGGCAGGCTGCAGGACAAAGAAGGATGAGCATATGTAAGGGGAACTCTCTCTCGCTCTCTCTCTCTCTGCAACTTACGTTTCATTGGGTGGCAGGTTGTGCAGAATGGAATTGGCCGTCTCATCGCCGTAGTGCCAGTAGCCAAAGAACCCAAACACCGCATAGAAGAGAACCACTAGGACCATGGCCTGATTGAGTATCCCGCAGGAGCCCAGAAAGTTCTCCGGGTGCCGCATGCTGCGTTGCAGCGCCAAGATCTAAGGGGGGAAAACCAACCACAAATGAGTGCTGCGAGTGGCATGGAAAACTGCCGAAATGGATGTCCTACAACTCCGAGGGATTCGATGGCAAACAGAACCGTGCCAAAGAAGAGGGGAAACTGCGTCCAGTGCTGTGTGGCCTGCAGTTCCTGCAGGCTGGGCAAATCCTGTAGCAGATACCACAGAATGATGCCAAAACCTAGAGCAAAATGTGGCAATAAAAACGTTGGTCCAAGGATGCAATGTGGTTGCAACACCCACTGCCGACTATCAGGATATTGGCGATGACAGTGAACGGCACCAGATACCTGAGATTCCGCACGAGGAACGTGAGCATCAGCGGGAGGGTCAGCAGTGCCATATAGAGACGCAGATCCATCGAACGGAGATGCAGATCGCCCAGGAACTTGAGATTCTTGGCTATAAACACAATGTAGACGCAGTCCACACCGAAATGATAGGCACACATCAATACGTCCACCAAGTAGCTGAGGAATCAAGACATATACAGATATAGATGGAATAGGGCGACAGATTCATGGAACTAACCCCAGGGGCTGGCTCATGGAGTGCAGCCATGTGGGTCCATCGAGTAGGGCCAATTCCATGGTCTCCTTGTAGCTGAGCACTGCCACGCGATGGCGTCTGCACAGACGTTGGATGTCATTCAACTGAATGATGGAATGGCACTTGGAACTGCTAGAACTGCAAAGTGGGGGCACTACCTACCAGCACATGCATGGCATACACCACAATGAAGCCAATCAGAACGGTGGCACCCAGACCAATGACCCAGCCGGCATTGGAGAAGGCTCGCGGCATGGCCAGGCAGCCCGTGCCAAAGGCACACTTCACCAGATTGATGAACGTCTCCAGATCCCTGCGGTTGAAAACGGCAGATTAAAGAGCGGCAGGTGGGTGGACACAACAGACACTCTGGGATGGAGTGTGTGCTACTTCTCACGTCATTGTGTTCTCCACATCGGGTCGCAGCACCTGCGCCTCATAGGCCAAGGGGGATCTGTTGGGTTGGGGGGCAGGCCAGATTAAATCCATTGGCAGAGGGGGCTCTACTCCGTATAGATCTCTGTGCAGCTCACCCCAGGCTCCGTTCAACCATGCCCAAGGCACGCACATGCAAGGGCAGCAGTTTCCGCTTGAGCTCCGGATCCATTCTGATGGCCAGCCGATGGCGACGCCCGCGCATCTTACTTTGCGACTGCTGCTGCGACATCATTCTCTCTCTCTCTTACTCTCTCTCCCACTCTCTCTCTCTCTCTCTCTCTCTGTGGTGATTTCAGTTCTTAAAATTGAAATCTTATAATCATAAAAACAAAACGAACATTCAGCGCCCCGACTACTCTCTCTCTCTACGATCGATCGATCGATCGATCGCTCTCTCCCTCTCTCTCTCTCTCTGTCCAATTATGCAAATGTGTTGACGAGGCAGTGGTGGCTTTCCCTCGGGTTATGTAGTGATCTTTGGAATCTGTGTTGGCCAGCTTCCAGGAAGGAAGGGTCTCTGTCTCTCTGTCTCTCGATCTCTCGTCTTGAGATATTAGCATGGCCCAAAGCCATGGTCTCTTTCCAGGAAATCAAGCACAGTCCCCCCCCGCTCCTCGTTGCGGTTTTCTGTGTGGGGGCGTTCTCTAGGCTGTGGCCAAGGAATTTGCTACCTAAATTATGCCACTGCCTGAAGCAGCCTTCCTTCGCAGCCTCCATCCTTCCTCTTGCTCTCTGTGTCGTGTCTCTGTCTCTCTCTCTGCCGCTCTGTTTCGCTGTGGCGATACAAACTAATTAGTGTGGCAGTGGCTGGGGCATTTCTCAAATGCCACTTGCCCATAAATTCTATAAATAAATAAATAAAAAAAAAAGAAACAAACTACAGTTTCTAGTTAAGGCCACAGTCACTGGTCGCTGGTCTCCGGTCTCCGGTCGCTGGTCACTAGTCTCTCTCTCTCTCTGGTCATTGTGTGGGGCCGATAGTCCCCCGCTGTGTGCTGCTGGCACCTTTGCCTTTCCTTTCCTATACTTTGCTTTTGCTTATGCTTTTGCCTGCGCTTTGCCGAATCGAAAATGCAAATTTTCGCGCTTTCCACAGAGCCGCAGCAGTGACAAGTACGAATCGAAGTGGGGGGCCAGAAGTCAATCTCTTAGATTTGTTTGCTTTTCCATTTCGTTGGCTATTTTCCCACTCGCTTTGGCTTCGTCTAGAGAGAGAGAGGTGCAGAGCTGGAGAGGTGTTCTATTGCGTGTCGATCGGTGGGAACACCTGTGTTAATATCATAGCTGCAAGAGCGGCTCCAGCAATCAATGGAGGGTGCACCATTTCGGTGCAGTTTGTATACCCGTACTCAAAAAAGAGTTAAGGGGTATATTAGATTTGTGGTAAAAGTGGATGTGTGCAACGCAGAGAAGGAAACGTTTCCGACCCCATAAAGTATATATATATTCTTGATCAGCATCAATAGCCGAGTCGATAGAGCCATGTCTGTCTGTCCGTCTGTCTGTCCGTCTGTCTGTCTGTCTGTCTGTCTTGTTGAACGCTTAATCTCAGAGACTATAAGAGCTAGGGCAACCAAATTTTGTTTCCAGACTCATGTGATATCCCACTGCTACAAGTGTACCACAAAGAACGAAAATCTGTGGCAGGCACATTTTTAAAGATACGATAAAACTAAAAACGCAGTATCGTAGAGAAGGACCATATCTACCAGATTGCCGAATCTGAATCAGATCGGATCATAATTATAGCCAAAATGAAGAAAGTCATTTTCAGTTGCTTCCCCCCGTCTCCGCCTGCATGAAACACGCTACTCATTCGCTTTCTCGCTCGCACACTCTGCCGCGTTCAGTGCGCGAGCAAGCCCTAGCGGAGGAGATGTAGAATCTAAATAATCTACATGTTAGATGTAAAATATACATTGTAGATGTAGATGTACAGTAGCGGACAAAGAAATCCGGACACCTACTTATGGCCTCAATATGCCAACTTTGAAGCTGCGTGGAATATGTAAGAAAGCTTAAAACTGTTTGGATCTTTTTATACTCGTACTCAAAAAAGAGTTAAGGGGTATATTAGATTTGTGGTAAAAGTGGATGTGTGCAACGCAGAGAAGGAAACGTTTCCGACCCCATAAAGTATATATATTCTTGATCAGCATCAATAGCCGAGTCTATATAGCCATGTCCGTCTGTCCGTCCGTCTGTCCGTCTGTCCGACTGTCCGTCTGTCCGTCTGTCCGTCCGTCCGTCTTGATGAGCGCCTGGATCTCAGAGACTATAAGAGCTAGAGAAACCAAATTTGGTTTCCAGACTCATGTGATATCACACTGCTACAAGTGTAGCAAAAACAAAGGACGAAAATCTGTGGCAGGCACAATTTTAAAGATACGATAAAACTAAAAACGCAGTATCGTAGAGAATGTCCATATCTACCAGACTGCCAAATTTGAATCAGATCGGATCATAATTATAGCCAAAATGAAGAAATTAATTTTCAGTTGCTTCCCCTCCCCCTCCCGACCTAGACAACGCAACTCATTTTCCTTCTCGCTCGCACACTCTGCCGCGTTCAGTGCGCGAGCAACCCCTAGCGGAGGAGATGTAGAATCTAAATGGTACTTGTACAAACTACATGTTAGATGTAGAATAGACATTGTAGATGAGATGTAGATAACAAATGTAGCAAAAAAATGTAAAATGTAAATTTTTTTTTTTAATTCTAAAAAATCATGCTCAAAAATGTATATAATGACTGAGTACGGGTATAAGTAGAGTCGCGTCCCCAGAAGCGACTCACACGTTCCTTCTCGTTTCATATTATCTATTAAGTATTTAGTTTTACTTCGCCGCCGAGGTTTTCTTTCCCTAAGCTTTTTATGTGAAACAAAAAATAAAACAGTGAAACATGCCGCAAATGACTGAAAGTGATAAAGGTGCTATATTGGCTTTGAGATCGGAAAACTTAAGTCTCCGTGAAATAAGCGCCAAAATTGGTTTTAGTAAATCTGCTATCGGGGATTTTATAAGGAATTTTGAGAAAACCGGAACTCTGAAACGTAACCAAGGCACAGTTCTGAGCACGGGTATAAGTGGAGTCGCGTCCCCAGAAGCGACTCACACGATCCTTCTCGTTTTATTTAAGGAAAATTAAGAAAGGAAAGGCGCCACAAATACTGCCACTAGATTTAAGGATTCCAATATTCCATTCAGCTGGCGGCATTGGCAGTGCGCCTGTGCGTGATGGTTGTGCTGTCAATATCCTCCTGCGGCTGCTCCTTGTCGCCCCAGCCCCAGACGGGATGGGTGCCATCGCCCGTGCGCTTGATCCTTTGGCGGAGCACCTCCGTGGAGACGCTCTTGAGGTCGTAGGCCCAGCCAATGCGGGCAAAGAAATCGATGAAGTAGGTGGTGGCATCCCGCGAATACTTGCCCAGCTCGGCGCTCTTGTAGTCCCAGGGGTAGACGTGATGGTAGTTGTGGTAGCCCTCGCCCACCCGGAACCAAATCAGGAACGCCTCGTTCGTGGGCGCAATGTTCTTGTCGTACGGCCGCTTGCCGTACATGTGCGCGGAGCTGTTCACCAGCCAGACGATATTGAGGCTGGCGCACCACCGCAGCAGGGTGAAGCAGTGCCACGCACAGTTGAGGGACTCGCCCCAGTAGTACATCGGCAGGACGGTGGGCAGCAGGAAGCAGACAATGGGCATGAGTATTAGGTAGTGCTTCTTCTGGAACATCACCAGCTTGTCGTTGCGCAGGTCCGAGAGATCGATCTCGCGGCCCTTGGTCGTCACGTCCGGATGCTTCCTGCAGCACAGCCAGCCGATGTGCGAGAAGAACCAGCCGCGCTGCGAGTTGTACGGATCGGCGTCCGTCTCCGAGTACTTGTGGTGCAGCCGATGGTCGCGCGCCCAGTAGTAGACGGCATCCTGGAAGGCCAGCGTGTTCAGGAACATGAAGATCAGCCGCAGCGGCGTGTTGGCCTTGAACGTGCGGTGTGCCCACAGGCGATGGGCGCCGCCGGATATCCCCAGAATGGTCAGCACCAGGGCCACCGGGAAGAGCAGAAATGTCTGCCACTTGGCGGCGGTGAGGAGCAGCCACAGGCCGTACACCGCGGACGCATGGATAATCGTGAACAGCGTAATGTTGAGCCAGGCCAGCTTCAGCTTGTGGTTCGGATCGGGGCCCCGGATCGCACTCGCTGCCCCGCTGGCGGTGTCGCCCGCGAAGAGCACTCTCGTGGTCCCTGTGTCGTGGCTATTGGGTGTCATTGCACTTGCAAACTGGGCGCTTGCTGCCGTCCACACATCTACTTATAGCGAAATTCACACGATATTCAAAAGTGTATGCGCCAAGTGGGCGGATATTTCCGGACCTCGGTCCGAAGTAGTGTCCGGCGTTCCGCAATTCGATCCGGAAATTTGCAAGTAGGAACTACATAATGCTAAACTATGCGCATAGATTGCCAGGAACGGTGATACGCTGCTACGGTGCTACGGTGCTACGCTGCTGCGGTGCAATGGGACAGCTATTTGACTGACTGTTGCAGTTTCAGTCAGATGCCAGTCGACAGTGGCTGTGGCTGTGGCTGTGGCAGTGGTGGCGCATCATTAAAGTGCTGCAGACAAATGGCCGCGCGGCATGTGCGGCACATGTCAAGAGCGGCTGCGGCAACAGGTGAAAATCTGGCTGGAATTCTGATTATCTGCAGCTTCTGGTTGCTGGTTGCTGCTGTTGCTGGCTGCTGCTGCTGGCAGCGGTGATTGGCAGCAAACTGTTGCTGCTGCTGCTGCTGCTGCTAATGTTTGCAGGCAGCAACTTAAACTGTAACTTTCAACGATTTGTCGTCAGTGTCTTCTGTCTTCTGTCGTCTGTCGTCTGTGTGCCACTTTGATGTTTGGCCACAAAACGTGGAAAGCAACATGCGCATAATTACGATTCAGGCAGCCAGGCAGGCAACATGGGGTACAACATTCCTTGACCACCATCCCCCACCCCCTCTCTCACTCTCTTGCTCTCTCTAAGTGCCACGTCCTCAATTCAATTTACAGCCGGAAGTGTGGGTGTATACTTATTTGATATACACTCATTCCTCATTCCCCATACCCCATTCCCCATGTGTGCTCTGCATTCTGTGTATTCCGATTCCTTGTTCTCGTTTCTCGTTTCGCACCCCTCGCTCCGCGCTCCCCTCCTTTCGCGCAACTCATTTGCTGCTTCATAAATCAGGAATCGCACAGCAGCAGCAGCCGCCTCAAAACTCCCGCATAAAAAAACTCCTGTATGAAAAACGCATTTAATGATTGGGGAACAACAGCAGCAGCAGCAGCAGAAGCAGCAGAAACAGCAGCAACAGCAGCAGAAGCAGCAGCAACAGCGGCAACAACTACATAATAGGCCGCATCTTGAGGCAGCAGCAAAAAGTGGGAGGATGCACTGGATTCTCCCTCCCTGCCTCTTTCTGCCTCCGCTGATACCCTTTCACTGGGGGGTATTATGGCTCTTCCCAGATCGGCTGACTATATTCCATGGCAATAATCGCTGGAGACTTTAATGTTTCTCTTTAGAAATTTCTTTAAAATATTTTCAAAGTTAATTTCCATTTTATTCTAAATGTATTGGAATATTCCATATGCGAGTAATATTTCCACATCCATGGGACTTCTTTACCCACGAAGCTGCACCCCTATGAGAGCTGTCCTTTGCGATGATTCCCCCTCCATCTCTGCCACAGAAATACTCCACTTTCGAGGGTATCAAAAACTTCGATAGCTTCATTCACTTGTTTTTAATGCCATTTGTTGCTGCCACTGCTGCTGCTGCTGCTGCTGCTGCTGTTGTCGGGCCGTTTGCCTTTTTGGGGCCCGTGAGGCATTCGCCTAAGCGGCAGGTTCCTGTCTCCGTCTGCGCCCCATCCAGGGAGGAGACGTTGACTGCATTTTTAAGCGCGCTCTGCGCATAAAATAAAGCCAGATTGCAGGCATCTCTTGGCTTGGGGGCATCATCCAGCTACCGCCTACCTCCTACCACCATGCCCCAATCGGTGGTACGTACGTACCTGTGGGGCAGGGGCTTCAAAGATCTTGAATGGAAGCGCAGAGTAAAAGTGCAGGATGCTTTGTAGAGTCCTGCCCTGCCCCTCCTGTCGGGACGCTGCTGCACGCCCCCATCCTATCGGAAGAGCTTCTGCAGAAACAGCAGCTAATTTTCGATGGGGCAGCAGCAACAGCAGCAACAAAAAAAGATTGGGGCATGCGAGGCAGCAGCAGAGGGGAGAGTGGGAGAGACAGAGATCTTGGAGCGATAATGATGCAAGGTTAATCATTAGCCTGGAACGTGTATTATGCGATTATTAGTTGGCTGCACCAAAGCACCCAATCCTTGCCTTGCCCTGCCCTGCCACATCTTCAGTTTCGGCTGCAGCATCGACTTGCAGCTTCGATTGGGGCTTTACATTCTTTTTCCTTTTTCCTTTCTTCTTTTTTTTTTTGGTGGGCGTTTGCTCTGGTTTCTTTTTGTTTTTGTTTTTCGAACCATTTCGCGGTAATTTCCAATTTCCGTTGCAATCTGCTGGGGCTCTGTTGTGGATCGATCCGCACGGCGGTTGGGATGGGAGCTCTTCTATATGCAACATGCCGCCAATTTGTCAACGCGGCCAACATGTTCCTGCTGCGCAGCATTGTAAGTTGTCAGCGTTTTTTAAGAGTCAATTGCCGCCCAACAGCAGCAGCAGCAGCAGCAGCAGCGGCAGCAGCAGCAGAAAATCTCTGCTCTGGAAATTCGATATTTTCCGGCCCCTTCCCACAAGTCGGGTAGCCTGAAGGCGGCCTTGAAAAGCAATACTTGGCGCAAAATCATTGCAGAATTGTAGATGAGGGGGCAACCTCATAGCTGACATGCAACCAGCCCAGCCCAGCCCTGCACCCTGCTCCATGCCCTGCCCAGCACCCTGCACCCTGCCACACACTGTTGCCTGTAGTACACACATATTTTGAGGCAAAAACGCTCGCTCAACTGACATGCAACATGATTTTGTAGGCGTGCAACATGCGCATGCGCAACAGCCGCAGCTTTATCAGATTCTGCAGGCCTCCACTGTTGCCGTTGCCGTCGTTGCCGTTGCTGTTCCTTTTTACTTGTTGCTGTTGAGACTTGCCGCATGTTGTCGACTGTCAATTGTTTTGTGGGCGTTGCAGCAGCAGCAGCAGCAGCCAGCAAGCAGTTGCAACTGCCAGCAACAAGCAACCAGCAACCAGCAACAATAGTCGCAACAAGAGTCGCCACAACAATCTGTCGCACAGTCACAGTCTGCACAGGCGGCAGCGGTGGGGCACTGGCCAGCAGCAGCAGCAGCAGCAGCAACAGCAGACTTTTGGAGGCTATATCAATGTCAACAGCATTATCACACCGCGCTGTCAATATGCAAATGCATAGAGCAGACAACCGAGTCCCACCAGCACTTGCCGCCACAAGCAAGTTCCAGCCAGCACCGAGTGCACAGAGTGCAGCCCAGCAAACGATTCCCTTCCCTTTGCCAGCTCCTTTAGACTATGTGACACTCGTTAACACGCAGCGAAAATGCGCGAAATGCGATATTTCACACGATTTATGCGCGCTGCAACGACGAAAAGTTGCAACTTAGTGAGGGAAGTGGGGGCAGCAGCAGCAGCAGGACCACACGCATTGCTGTGCAGCCTGGTGGAGTGGCTGTGGCTGCTGCTGCTGCTGGGGCTTTAGCCTGGAAAACTCATGGGAAAGGGAGTTCCCTGAAGGCTGCTGCAAAGCTTCGAAAATGTTGCTGGCTGCTGCAGCAAAAGCAACATCCCACTTAAGGTGTAGGAAAATGATTAGCCGGAAGAGTGCTGCCTGCCTGCCAGCCTGCCTGCCATATGCCACAAATAGTAGCAGTTGCTGCTGCTGCTGCCACTGCTAATGGGGCATGTTGCTCGCTTGCTAATTTGACAGAAAGACTTCCAGAGATTGGTGGCGAGACGAACTGGGAGTAGTCTCCACCATGATTTATGCGCTGCCAATTGGTTGTGGCAACATTTGCCCATATACATAATTGAAATGTAATAAATTCTGCTACGGCTGCTGCTGCTGCTGCTGCTGTTGCAGCTTTTCGTGCACAATTAGTGGCAGGCAACTGGCAACTGGCAGTGGCAACTGGCAGTGGCAAGCATCAGCATCAGTGGCATTCACTAACGACAATTGCTGACCATTTTCCATGACTCCTCGTTGCTTGATTATTAAATAAATAATAATCATTGAGCGAACTGCAGTTGCAGTGTGGCAGCGTGGCAGCGTCGCTGTGTGGCTGTGTGGCAGGAGGCTGGCACTGCCTTTGGCTTTTACAAGTTGTAAAGTGCGAAATCAACACGCTTCATGCCACAAAACTAGAGATCTCTGGACAGGGTCTGTCTCCATGCTGCTGCCACACTGCAACACTGCCACACAGTGGCCATCGGTGGCACGTCCCAGTGTCCGAGTGTGTCCGAATGTGTCCGTCTGCCGTGTGTCCACTATGTTAGTTGTCAACACAAATGGCAATCGGCGTTGATAAATTGTTGCAGCCTTGGGCCAATTATAACCGTGTTTGGGCTTGGGCTGAATATAGCTGCCACATGCCACATGCCTAATGCCACAGCCACTGCCACTGCCACAGCCACTGCACCCGTATGCCTCTTGCTGCTGTTGCACTGCCTCGCGTCTGCACTCTCCTCTCGTTGGGCTTTGGGTGCTGCTTTCTCGTATGCAGATATCCCATCCATCCATCCATCCGTCCATCCGTCCGTCCACAAGCTTCCTGCGAAGCCCCTGCGAGGCCTCCTTCCGGTGGCTGCCACTGCCACTGCCACTCGTGTGGGTGCAACATTGTATGCTCCGCTAAGCAGGGACAGGGACAGGGACAGAAGAAGAAGCCACCGATATCTGAAATTCAATACCCGGATCAATCTCCGCTTTCAGCAACTCTTTCCAAATTTCTTTCGTGTCGTTTCGTGTCGCGTAGCCCTTTAAATAATTTGTCTGCCACACAGAGAGGAAAAAAAAGGGCGCCAAATGAGGCCACGTGCTACAAATTGCAGTGATTCCATGGGGAAGAAAAGGAAGCAGCAGCAGCAACAGAAACAGAAACAGGAGCTCAACACACCCCCGCACCAGCACCTGAGATTTATCTCATTGCCATCCTTAAGGGCATCCTCTGCAGAACTCAGATCTGAGATCTCAGCTGTTCCTGTTCCCCTGCCGTTGGCCGTTGGCTGTTGGCTGTTGGCTCTTGGCGCGCGCGCTCTGCCCCCTCTGCCACATTATTGTTATTATTATCCACGGCCCGGTGTCTTTCCTTATACAATAACATCTAATTTCCTACCTTTCGCTTGCTACCTACGCTCTACCTACTGCTCTGTGTCAGCGTCTTTGATTCTCTCAGATTTGTCGGCAGTCATCCCTTACAGGAGCGTTTCTTAGCTCTCCTCTGAGGCGCACCCGCATGTGTCACTCGAATGTTGCCTATTTGTATGCAACGCTAATGACATCAGAAACAGATCGAATCACGCGGGGAAATCTCAGATGCGATTGTGGCAATTCAAAGAGACGACTTTTCGCAGGGGCAGGAAACTGCTGAAGGTTTTCCAGGGCGAAGGAAGAGTCCTAGGAGTTCCAAGAGCTGAATTTAAACTACAAATTGGCGCAAACTTGTGTAGCACTTGGAGAGATTCCCCAGGGAAGGGGGCAGTACTGCCTTTCCTCTTTTTAGGCAAATATTTCTGCATGAAATTCTCCACCTACATATGTGCATCTCCTCCTCCGCGGCGTCACAGGGTTTCCCTTCTTCTCTGCTCTGCTCTCCCTCCTTTTTTAGGGTGGCTTCTGCTGGGATTATTGACCTCTTGGCAAACAGGCAAAACCTTTGTTTGCGCTGCAGATGAGGATGAGGAGTAGATGCAGCGGCATGGCATCTTCCAGCCAGCTGTTGTGCGGGATCCGAGGCATGAGGCGATCGACTTGAGAAGTCGTTGGCGCGAAAAACAAAACAAAAACAGAAGTCGCCTCCGAGGAAAATCTGTGAAGGGAACAGCTGACAGGGCTGACCGAGTTGGCCCTGCACGAGCCACAGGCAAATGGAAAAGGAGCTCAGCTCGAATGTTGCGGTTAACCGTCGAGGCAGAAGAGGAAAAGCGGAAAAGGTGTCAGAAATGTAGCAGCAGCAGCAGCCGCAGCCGCAGCCATCTGTGTGGGTAATTTCGATTCTAATTGCAATTGCAATTAGGATAGAGTGGTTGAGCAGGGCGGGGGAGGGCGGTGAGGGCATGTTGCAACACAGGGAACAAGTGCAGCAAGCAGTCTGACATATGCGAGACGCCACACACAGATCTCCAAGGAGAAGTGGCATTGCGTGTGCTCTCCATTTGGTCTCTCTCTCTGCGGTGCCCCTATTATCGATGATGCCCCGCCAGACGCTGAAAAACTTGCCCCAGAATCAGCAGCAGCAGCAGCAGCGGCAGCAGCGGCAGCAGCGGCAGATTAGATTGGAGGCGTAGCAGGATGAGGATGCAGCAGCAGCAGCAGCAGCAGCAGCAGTAGGGGGAGGAGCTGGATGCCACTAACTACCGTTAGGCGGAGACAGAGACAGAAACCGAAACAGAGACACGAGACACGGGACACGTCGAAACGAAACATTTAAAGAAATTCAAATGAATTCGTTTTTGTTTTTTGTTTTTGTTTTTTTTTCGGTATGTGTGTATGCCCCATGCCCTGCGGCCACCATCCGCCCACTTAAATTGCGTGCCATGCTGAAAGCATTCATTTGCAGAAGGAGCGAGCCCTGAGATGTGTGTGTTGTGTTGCGGATTGTGGATGCCACTGGGAGATGCGATGCGGCAAACTACAATTAAATTTGCATTTGTATGATTCCCGCTGCCACATCCATTTGTGGCTGCCACAGCTACAGCTACAGCTACAGCCAGTTAATGCCGCGGGTGAAATACCTCGGCGTAGGAAACATTTATCACTGCTATGGGGGCTTCAACTTCAGCTTCATTCCCCATTCGCCATTCGCCACCGCCACCGCCACCGCCTCCGACTCTCCGATTCGCATTCGCATTCGGACTCTGGTCTGGTCGGGGGACTCAAAACTGCGATTCCGGACAGAACGAACGCACAATAAAACTAAAACGTTTATAATTTCATATGAATTTCGCAGGGGCAGGGGTAGAGGCAGGGGCAGAGCCAGAGACAGAGGGCAGAGAGAGGAGCCTGCAACTATTAGCTGTGGCATGCAATTGCCACAGCAGCAGCAGCAGCAGCCCCAACGCGAAACAGCAAAGACGAGACAGTCGAGGGCCAAAACTTAATCACAGGTTGGCAGACGCAACTCAATGGCCTAAACGAAAATGCTTAAATTTAATGACATAAATATATACGGAGAGCAAGAGAGAGAGCAAGAGAGAGAGCAAGAGAGAGAGAGAGAGAGAGGGAGAGAGAGAGAGAATCAGTTAGGAGTGGTTAGGGTGGGGGGGTAATGGCGGCGGGTGAATATTGCCAGAATCTATTTATCATTGTGTCACGCGGCTGCGAAATTGTCTTACAGCTGCCCTTGTCCATTTTGGGAAAACGAGTTATGACCCGCACCCCACCCCACCCCAGCAGCAGCAGCAGCAGCACCACCAACACCAACACCACCCCTTGAGTATTCCTGAAGGAAACTGCGCACTTAAGAAGCAATCCTGATCGTGATCCTTCCTTCCTGCCTGCCTGCCTACGATGATCCTACGCCACACCACCCCAAAATGAACAGGATTGACAGCCTACGAAAACGGCTGCGGCAGCGGCTGCTCCTTTGGTTCCTCCTACCGCCACCCCAAAATCCAGCCCTGGGACCATCTTCCTCCCTCTGCAGCAAACAAAAAGAGGACAATAGCAGCAACCGCCAGGAGCAGGAGTAGAAGACAGCGCGCAGCTGCTTCCATTTTTAACTATAACTTTTTGTGTGTGTGTTTTTTTTTTGGTTGTTTGTTGAAACGCTGCGCAATTTGGGAATTTCTGTAAAGGCAACAACAAAACACAAAACCGAAAAAAAAAGCTTTGCAGCTGCCTCTGGGAAAATTCCCTAAGAGCTTCTTCGGTAGTGAGTTTTCATTGTGTGGCATTGGTGGTGTCCCCCAAAGGAATTGAGGAAGCAGACGGAACTTTAATCCGCGTATAAACACGGCTACAACATCATTAGATTCAGAAGCCTCGTTTTTGGGTGCAAGTTCGCTGCCTAAGTCTTTCCATTTGCATAGTTTTTTCGGTGTGTGTGTGGCATAAATTATGTATCCGCCCCAAGGCGACTCCCACAAGAACGGGGAGCCAGAGCCAGAGCCAGAGCCCGGCACAGCTACCTTTTGCCACTTGGCATAATATTAACTGTTTATTCACATAAAAATTAAACCATTAAATGCTCAAAGAGTGAAAGGGGAAGGAGAGTGGGCTGAGTGGGCATTCGAGTGGAGAAATGAGCTTAAAATCATAAACGACACACGGAATAGAAAAACACACACGACGGCAGCCAGCCAACAAAACAAAAAAAAACAAAACAAAACAAAACTAAAGCATTTCAATCGATGAATACACAAATACATATGCATATAGATATGTAGATATATAGATATGGATGTATTGGTTCGATTGAGGCGGCTGCTTCTACCAATAAAAATATAACAATCATGCGATCAAAAATATCTTTCACAAAACACTCACATGAATACCTTTCTGGATGATGATCAACCATTCACCTGTTCAAAGTGTGGGAAACCATAGAAACGCCACAGCCACAGCCCCACAGATCGACAGGCACAGCAGCCACAGCAGCCACTGCCAAGAGCCCAGAGCCCAGAGCCAAAAGCACATCTAAAAAGGTAGAAAAAGAAAACGTTGAAAATTCAAATTAGCCCGAGAGACTCGTAAATAAAAGATATTATAGCCAATCGAGCAATAAAACCAGTTAATCTCTAAATGTGGCCGAGAAGAGTCTTTGGGCTCTGAGTCAAAGGCCTCCAATGCCCTCCATCTCAATCCTCCATCTCAATCCCCCATCTCAATCCCAATCTGTATCTGAAGCTGGGAGTCGTCTGTGTACTGGAGACGGAGACTCCATCAAGCTCTCATCAAAGTGGTTCGGCCTACATCTGGTAGCTGACTCCGGCACTGGGCACTGGGTACTGGGATCTGGGATCTGGGATCTGAGGTTTTACGAGGCAACGCTGCTGCTTGGGCCACAGAGCGACAGACTCTCAGGCGGGTGTAGTATAGGATGCTTCTTCCAGCAGCAGCAGCTTCTGCTTCTGCTTCTCTGATCATCGTTCTGCCACAACAAACGAGTGGCAATCAAATCAATTTTATGCTGCTGTTGCAGCATGTTTTTATGGCATTTCTAACACACAAACCACACGATAGCCTCCATTCATTGATTCATTCAATCTGTGGGCCTTCCATTCATGGGACTCGGACACCCCACCGCATGCCGTCTGGCCGCCTGGCCGCCTGTCCGCAGACCGGAAGCGGGTTACTGCCCCAAACGGTGGGGGCAAGAGTCAGAGGGAGGTAGAGGCAGAGAGAGAGAGGGTGGCAACCGATTACCAACAACTTAAGCTTGGCCACAAAATGTTGCATTGGGATTGGGTTATTAAGCCATTTAAGCTACGTGAGAAAATGCTGAAAAAGACAGCAGCAGCATCAGAGCCACTCAGAGGCACTCAGAGCCACTGCTGCGGCTGCTGCTGCTGCTGCAGCGGATGCTGTTGCCAATTGGAAAATCTTTGCCAGAACCAACAACAAAAGGAACAGTGGCAGTAGCAGCGGCAGTGGCAGCGGCAGTGGCAGCAGCAGTGGCAGCAGCAGCGGCAGAGAGCGGGTAGGGAGGTAAAATGATTTAATTTAATGACTGCCAATAAACATTTACCCAACGAACAGCAAAATCAATTAAACACAAAAGGGGGGTGGGGTGAGGGGGGGGGGGAGCACGCACGCCCCATCCCTGGGGCCGAATGTCGTTAAACTTTTTTTTTGCCAGGCGACCTTCCTCTTCCGTTCTTCGGAGAGATTTTCATTAAGACAACAAAACAAAGTTTGGGGTCTTCGGTGTTTGCTTAGTTTTTAGTTGTGAATGAAATGAATCCCCACTCCCCACCACGCACACACCCGAAGCTAAAAATAAACCTCAGAAAAAAGTGCCACAACGCTGTAGGTAAATCATTTGTAGATTTGTCTTCCACTTGGCAGCGTGGCAGCATGGCAGCATGGCAGCAGATCTTTTGGTGAAGATTTCTGGGGCGTGCGCGTGATTTCAGCCTCATGTTTTGTCGTCTCCCCCATCTCTCCGCCCCATCTCTGAGTGTGTCTTTTGTTGTGTGTTGGAGGAAGTGCAAAGTACCTTGATAAGATCTTTCACTCTGTGGGCTTCTCCAGTGCCAAAAAACCAAAAACTTGCGAGAAAAATGAGCAGCAAGAAAACGCTTAATTGCTTACCTCAATCCACAGAAGTCAGACTGAGAAGGAGACGCAGGGTGGCAGGCGGGACGGGTTATGATAGATGGCTAAAACAAGCTTCTAAAAGGTGGTGGGGGGCCCCGGGATTAGTTATGGCATTCCCGTATTGCAGCATACTTTTGGGGCCATAAACGTTGCCTAATGGCCGAAATAATAACTGAATTCATTTGATTGTGTTTACTTTGCAATCATCATCCATCCATTCATCCATTCATCCATCCATTCATCCATCCATTCATCAATCACTCAATGTGTGGCAAGCAAGAGAGATTGATTGACTCCTGATAGCTCTGATAAGTGTTATAAGTGTTTTCTTTCCATTTCCATTTAATTAGTTCTCATCCGAAATTTTAGCTTTATTTTTGGTTTTGTTTTTGGTTTTGGCCCATAAATCCGCTGCCCAGTGGACTTCTTAACTGTGTTTCAGCTGTAGCTGTTGCAGCTGTTGCAAATAAATCTGTAAGCTTTACACGTGTCTCCTCCAGCTGAAGTATCTGGCTGCTTATCCGTGGGAATCGCGCTCCCTCTCTGCCCCCTCTGAGGCGCATGCAAATTAGATTTTTTTTAATTGGCGCCTGACCCCGGGCAGAAGCTGCTGCTCTTATCTCTTCTGTTGGCTGTTGGCGTCACCTCGATGTCATTCGCTTTTATGGTTATTGCCGCAGTGGCAGGGGCAGTGTCAGTTGCAGTGGCTGTGGCAGATGCAGCAGTTGCTGTTGCAGTTGCACATGCAAATCGCGGCTTCACTTCTTTTCCTGTTTTTTTTTTTTGCGTGCGCTTAATTGAAAATTGTGTTTCGTTTCGACTTGGATTCTAATGAATGGAAAAAGTCAAAGACGACGGCGACGACAGCAACGCAGTTTTCGCCCTCCCATCGCGATGCCAGGGCCAGCGCTAGGGCCAAAAGGGAAGAGTGCTACGCCTCGAGGGGGAAATCAGAGCTGAATCAGAGCTAAATCAGAGATTGGGTGGAGGGAGGAGGAGGAGTAGAAATCACAGCACAAGAAATGGCAGGAGGAGGAGGAGGAGGAGGAGGAGGCATGCCAAAAGGTAGAAGGAGGAGGCCCAAAAAAGGAGCAGCAGGAGGCTCAGGTAAGAGTAAAGCTGTGCCACTAGGGGTGGGCATGCTGCCTTGGGTGGATGTTGCCTCAGGCCACAAAATCCCCGCGATCTTGGCCCTTTTGTTTGAGAAACTTGCCTCAAGACGAGATCGTCGGGCGGATTTCCCGCCAAAATCTACTACGGGGGTTGCTGCACACAACGGGATCTCATCTCTGTGTTCTCTGGTGGGGTGGTTCGTCCTTCGGGCGGTGATGGTGATGGTGATGGTGGTGGTGGTGGCGGGCGGCGGTGCCTGCTGCTGCTGATGTGGGGTGGCCGCCGCGGCAGCACAATAGAGCCTCAGAGGCTGAGAGGGCGACTCGATGATGACGATGACGATGCTGGGACGCAGCACCGTGGGAAGATTTCGGATACAAAAGCCTGAAGGAATCTTTTCACTGAAATTCCCCTGCAGCTGCAGAGCCGCTTCAAGAAGAGAACTTTTACCTTTGGCCTCTGTGATTGTGCTCGAGGCCTTCGCTCTTTGGCAGGGCGCGTAGGCATTTGGCGGCGGTGACACTGAAATGTACTTGGAACTGCAGCACTGCCACCACCACCCCACACAGGCAGGCACTCGTTGTGGTTGGGGGGGAGGGGGCAGGCAGCTGTGGAGCGGAGAGTGTCGCCAAGACGGGCAGCAGACTTCATCAACAAATCAGTTGTGTCAATCTGTCAGATTGGATTGTGTGTTGGCTGTATCGTTTCTCCCCACCCTCCCCTTCTGTCTACCGATCGTGGCGCGTTCTTGGCCGTGCGGTCTCTTGGCCACTTGGCCTACACCATTTTGGTTTTTGTCGCCTTCTCATTTCAATTTCAATAATTCATTCATTGCTGTAGTTGTGTGTGAATGTAGGGAACCCCTACACAACACCCCATCCCACACACACACACACACACACACATACAGCACACACAGATACAGCATATGTACATCTGCATACACCTACATTCGGCTGGCTGCCGCCTGCCCCTGGCCGCTTGTTCACGCGACCAACAAAATTTCTGTACGAATCGCGTAAACGCGTTTCGCGTCTCGTTTTTATTTCCCTGCCCACAATCCACGCACACCACCGCACACACACACACCGCGGTGTGTATCTGTGTGAGTGGCACAGTGGTCGAGTATTGGTGCGGCTACTATTCGTTCATTCACAAATTGTATTGTTGTAGCCCGCGACTGCTGCTGCTGCTGCCGTTTGCTGCTGCTGCTGCTGCGGCATGCTTTTGGTTTTGCGCCTTCGCTGCTGCTGCTGTTTTGCTTCTTTTTATTTTTGTGTGTTTTGTCAACACACAGATACACAGATACACAAACACTCGAGCAGCATTCGGCAGCTGCGGCGGGCACACACACACACACACACACACACACACACAGAAAAAGAGCGCAACACCCGAGAGAGCGGAACTCGCTCTCTGCATCGGCATTTCATTTCAAGTTCAGGCTGAAGTTGTTTTGCCGGCATTTGTCCACACACCCACACACACACACACAGAGAGAGAGAGAGCGAGCGAGCAAGAGAGTGCCTGTGTGTGTGAGCGTACTCTCTCTCGCGCTTCGTTTTATCCGTAAAGTTTATCCGGCCATTGTCGTGGTCGTTGCTCAAGAGTCAATCGTCAATCGTCAGAGATTTTCCTATAATAATGCAATTTGTGCTGTGATTTGAGCGCATCTTAAAGGCTAAAGATTTTGGCCAGCCATTCATTACACTCGGCTGGGTAATGGTTCATATCATGTCACTATCAATACATGTGTCAAAGGATGCAATTGTTGTATCTGCCAAGTGTCAGACACAGGCATTGAATTACTTGAATTGCAATATCCCTCCAAATATCCCCCAATTGTATCTGGCAGTCGGTAGAAATTGAGTAAAAATTTATATCTTAGATTCAATTGCATCTTTTCATGTTCTAAGGCAAATAAAATAGCTGCAAGTGTATCTGGTGATATCTGTTGATATCTGGCATACTTAATGGATACAATTGTAACTTATTATAGTCGATAGCTACTCGCAAACTTGTAATTGTATCGAGGGAACTATTTTAAAGCTGAAAAAGCTTTTTCAAAGAGTGAGCTATTAAATCTTGATGCAACTTGAGACGTAATTGTGACCAAAAGATGCGCATAAGATGCATATAAGATGCACATATGTATTCATTCATGTATCTGCGACTAGAATAGACATT